TATGGCTTTTATCCACTCAACCTAGGGGGTACAGCTCATGGGCTACAAGACCAGTCAGTGTTAGAGCTCGGTACTTCTCTGTTTTTGTAACAATAGGAAGGCCCATCAAACAGGACTATGAAACAGTTGGGCCCACGTCCTTTCTCGGTGATGCTAAGTTTATTGTGGTGGCCCCAAATGCAGTTCGTCCGTTTGCTGTGGATTGTGGAATATCACTTTTGATGTAGATGCGCCTCATAAAGTCCCTCAGTTTTTCTTTATCTTTTTTTCAGGCACATGCATTGCATTGCTTGATGCTTCTTCTCAATACAAGCATAGCATGACTTTGTTCTGCAGCTTTCACCTTCCACCAAAATGATGGTGGGGAATTGCACTGAAACCAAATTCCTAAGACCAAAAGCTAGCCAAGAAGATAGAAGATACCAATATCAGATAGATATATTTCTTAGGGAGTTTGAATTAATGAAGGTTGATCAACACAATTGCCCAAATTGATTGAAATTAGTTAAGCAGCAAATATACACAACAATTTACTATTTCACAAACTGTACAGAATGTATGAATATAAACAAAAAGAATTAATTTTCTTGCTAATCTTTGCCCCTATACTCTTCTCATGAACTATAATGTGTAAAGCAAGGTGAAGGCACCTTAGGAAGGAACCTGATCCATCCACAAGCTCAAGCTAACTTCCTCTAAAAGATCATCAAAAATCAGGTCCTCAAGCTCAATTCCTATGCACTCAGAATCAAATTGGAGGTTCATCCACCCATCGTTTTTCGCCAAATCTCTGCTCACAACATAATCCAATGATTGATCAAACTCTGGACTCAAGCTCAAGTACCAACTTACAAGGGCCCATACTTGCTTGAGAACGTGGTGCCCTGCTGGCATTAGAGGGATGTTACATAGAGAAGACAAGGTCATGGGACAGTAAGTATATGACCTCCCATATATCTCCATCAGTACCTCATTGATCAGATCAAACAACAGAAAGTGATCACATTTGCCACCTTCTTCATTTCCTGAACAATCAGGATCATGGACCAAGCAGCCTTCGACGCCTTCATACGCTAAAGAATCGACCAGCTGGTCATCTGAATGCCAAGTCCCGAGGGACTCATTCCCATTGAACCCTGATTGCTCCAACACATCTCTCACATAGTTAAATTCAGCCATGTCTCTTGCATCAACTTGAAGATGAGACATGTCATAACTCAAATGCCTGCTGTGACTCTGTGTTTTCTCTTTATCCAGTCCACTGTGAACCACCTTAGGGGTATCAAGAACAGGCTCTTCCCTTTGCTTGGCCAAGTTCTCTGGTCCATCTCTAAGCTTTAATTTCATTTCTGCTCCTATAAAACCAATATCCAAAGCATGATCCATTTCAGCCCCAAAGGTCACAAGTTTTTGATCGATGCAAGAAAATATGAGAATAGTTTAAATGGGAAATATAATTAAATGCAAATAACATTTCTACACTGCAAAATGCTTGTTTGATCATTAAGTGCCAAGATTTAAAGACTAATAATCTGATAATTCCCCCATTTGGATTGAGGGATTCCAAATCTATGGATTTAGATGACATTATAAGGTAAAATTGCTTGCATAGACTATTACAATCCATGTATGCCAAGATTTGGACAAGAAAGAAAGGAAAAAAAGCAAATAGATTTCAAATGATTCCTTATATGTAGTCATTTCAAATCCATTTCAAATGTACTACGTCTACTTCTTTCAAAATACATTCAATCTAATCCAGTTCTTGTTTTTGTA